CTTGACCTTGGGATTCTTGTCGAGATATTGCTTGCTCTCCTCCAACCCCTTCTGCCACACCTCATCCCCCAACTTCTGCACCTTCTCCGTCTTCTCCTGAATCAGCTTCCGGATCTCGTCCACCGACCCCAAACTAAACCCCTTCTTAACCACCTCTACAACCTGCTCCCTCGTCTTATCCACCTCCTCCTTTGCCTGAGGTCCATACGCATCCCCCAACTCCTTTAGCTGCTCCCACCCCCCACCCACCTTCTCCTGCAACCAGGGATGATTATCCAGAACATCCCCCGCCGCATCCCCAGACAGCTCCACCAACCGCGCCAGATGTTTCTGCAACACATGCAATGCCTGGAACGCTGTATCAGCATTCGAACCACCCTTCTTCCCCAACTCTTTCAACTCCCGATAAGCGTCTCGCACAACCGCGTCCACTTCCGGTCCATGCCGGCTCTTGACCTTTTCAAGGTCGCTAAACACGACATCGATATGTCGGCTCGCTCCCGGGATAAACGCCACATAGCTCTTCAGCGTATCCCGCAGCCAGTCCAGCGCTTTGTCAGGCTCCGGTGCATTTTGAATAATCCCTTTCTTGACCTGATCGGCGTAGGTCTGCGTCTGTTTTACTGTTTTGACGACGGCCCGGGCTCCGGAGAGGTGGTACCATGCGTACCCGATCACCAAGGCGACGGCCCCGCCGGTGATGCCACCCGTGAGAGCAGGATTGCCGCTGCTGGATGACTCGGATGAGGTGGATTGGAAGCGAGCGTGGCGGTAGCGACCTCTAGTCTGCCATTGGCGTTGCTGTCTCAGGCAGCGGGTCGCAAATCGGGGGGTTCTGTTCATCATGGTTGCAGCTGAGACTTGAATAATTTCTAAGGGGGGCTCTGGGAGATCAAAACTAGTAATAAACTCACATCGTTGCAAGACATCCAGAATATTTATAGGGCCGTCCTCTAACTGGCTGGAATATCCCGTCAACATGACGCACGCCAAGTACCCCGACGCTAGGCTATATCCGGCGCGATCAGATCAGATCTCGCTGCCAAGCCTTCATGAGATCGATGATCTCAACGATACATAGTAGATGCGAATGGGATCATGACGATTCTTGGGATGTTCAGATAGCTTTACATATCCGAGGCTCAAAGTCCGCTCGGTTTCGCTTAGCCACTGCTTCCGACGGATACTTATACAATGATAGGTACAAACGTGAATGAATAGGATGACATTATCAGAACGCACGGTCAATATGGACTAGGTAGCATGACGAAGTTTTCTTTTTTTGATTCTTGGGTCAACAGGACCTACTACGTAGTTGGCGGTGTTCCCACGGACGAGGCTGTCCTACACCAAAGGGGTGGTCCTGTGGAACCTTGGAAGAGCATCGGTCTGTCGCACCCGCACGAGTTGGGTTAGACGTAGACAAACAAGACATGAGTCCATAGCAAAAATCAAATGGGCGAGCAAAAGAGATAACCACGTCATCATACGGGAAGCGTGTTTAGTCGAAAAAAAAAAAAAATATCCCCCGACCCGGAGTCGAACCGGGGACTCTCTGATTACAATGCGATATTACAGTCAGATGCCATAAACCAACTAGACCATCAGGGGATTTGCTGTTGAAGATACCTTTACAGCAATGGCCTATAACCTCAGAATATGCCGTCTTTCCTTCATATACTTCTCCGTACAGGCAGCGAGACTGTAATCGGCTGCCAAAGTTGCTGCTTCCAAAACAGTAAGTGACCATTCCAGCGTGTATTATTATAACCCGCAGGTAATACTGAACAAGTGGAGGTAAACTAGGAGCGAAGAGGGATGGTTGTAGGAAATAGGGTTATACCTCTGTGTTGGATGGCTATATAAATATGTCACTGGGCCTGGCGACACTTCATGATGATTCTCCCACAATCCATATAATCCACCGTCAGCATATTACAAGCTGCCATTACTGGATCTGAGTTCCTTACACATGCAATATCAAAGCCCACTAGCAACATGGTTTTTTCTTGTTCTCGATACTAGCAGGAGGCCCTTCGGAAATCATTGTTTCAGCCTCTTGCCTTTGCAAAATTGACAATGCGTGACAGGTGGTGGCAAAAGCTCACTACACTTCTACCTTAGCTAACTCGAATTACAAAGTTCCTGGACTACAATATCCTTGGCTGGAGTGACATGTAGCAGATCCCGAGCCTTCAAGCTTCATATAGTCCCAAGGCCATAAAAGTGGAGACCGACCCCTGGCTAAATTGGGCCCAAGCGTCTCGGAGACTTTCAAAAGTCTCCGAGCCCCATTTGGCTTTGGATATGGGCCCATTTTCTGACCCCTGGACCGTTCCGTAGGTTCATTCGAGCAGTCGCTGGACCGAGAAATCGCCCTCTTTTGACTTCAACCATCTGGACCCTGATTATGGTCCTCTCCCTCCTATCTTCCCATTTTAGGTCAGCTCCACTGGTTAGGTCTCGACCTTAGTCGACATTATTTCGGTCCCCGCCAGCCACATTTGCTGCAGGTCATTGCACGTGGCTGTTGGTGTTCAGCAGGTGGGGTCGTTCACTTGGGATTGTCTGATATACTCAAAGCCTCCCCGCCTCCCACAGCATTATCCTTTATCATGAAAGTCTCAGGCGCCCTTTTTATGGTGGGTGCAGTTGTCAACTTGGCCTACTCTGCACGAGCTAGTATTGTGGCATACGATTTCAATGTATCTTGGGTCATTGCCAATCCCGATGCCGCTTTCTCACGTTCAGTCATTGGGATCAATGGCCAGTGGCCACCTCCTACAATGCGGGCTAGCGTGGGTGATACAATCTTAGTCAATGTATACAACAACTTGGGTAACCAGTCCACCTCGTTGCATTTCCACGGACTCTCAATGCAAGGTACTCCTCACATGGATGGGACAGCCCAGGGTTCCCAATGTGCCATTCTTCCCGGTTCATCCTTTCAGTATAATTTCACGGTACATCGTCTTGTTCGCCCAAAGCTTCGACCGCATCTACTCACAGCGGATAGGTTGATCAACCAGGGACTTACTGGTACCATTCCCATCACCACATCCAGTATCCTGATGGCCTGCGCGGTCTTCTGATCATCGATGACCCCGATTCTCCCTACAAGTCTGCCTACGATGCAGAGATTGTCCTTTCTCTCTCCGACTGGTATCATAGCCAGATGCCAGGCCTTTTACCGAAATACATGAGCACAAGCAATCGGATGGCTATGGAGCCAATACCCGAGTCCAACCTGATGAACGACAGCCAAAACATCAATGTTCCTATTGAACCAAACTCTACCTATCTGTTTCGTCTGGCGAATATTGGTGCATTCATGGGTCAATACTTTTGGATTGAGGGGCATAAAATGTCAATCGTCGAAGTAGACGGGGTGTATACCAAGCCGGCCGAGGCGGAAATGGTCTATCTTGCAGCAGGCCAACGATGCAGCGTGCTCCTCACAACCAAAGAGGAAGCCACGAGCAACTATCCCATCATTGCTGAGAGTGATACGGCAAGTCCTCTTGGTTGCGAATCGTCGGTGCAACGCTCATATATCTCTGGTTTAGGTTATGCGTCACCACAACAGCGTGTTCGGGTGGCTCGAGTATGATTCTTCCCTCCCGAACCCTCATCCGCAGCCGGTCGATCAATATAACGTCTTAGACGACATGACTCTAGTACCCTATGATGAACAGCCGCTCCTACTTGAGCCCTCTCAGATCGTGACACTCGATATGAACATGAATATTCTTGAAGACGGCGTAACTCAGTATCTGCTCCACCCGTCCATTCGCAAACCACCACACTAACCATCATCCAGCTGGGCTCTGAACGACGTCAGCTACTCGCCCCCCGAAACTCCGACATTATACACAGCTCTCACATCTGGAGAATCGGCAACTGCCCCAGAGACATATAGTTCACAAGCCAACACCATCATTCTGAACCACAACGAGACGGTAGAGCTCATCATCAACAACCGTCACATGGGTCGACATCCCTTTCATCTACACGGTCATCAGTTCCAAGCCGTCTATAGATCTGATAACTGGGCAGGCTCATTTTCAGACCTTGAAGTCAACGAGGATATCTATCCGCGATCCCCAGTGCGACGGGATACAATGGTAGTAAATCCCGGAGGGAGTTTAGTACTTCGCTTCCGGGCCGACAATCCAGGTTCGTACACCAACTCAGTTCTTCACACAGCCTGCTCTAAACACTGTCTGGTTGCTAGGGGTCTGGCTTTTCCATTGCCATATGGAATGGCACGCATATTCCGGACTAGTTGTTACATTTGTCGAAGCACCACTGCTTCTGCAACAACAAATGAGCATTAATTCACTACCTAAAAGCCATCTCGATGTATGCTCCAAGACGGGGTTATCGTTGGTCACAGACATAGACATGCAAGAGGAAGAGTCTCCGCAGAGTGAGGATGTTCCTGTAGACGAGTAAGTTCCTGTACTTCCCCGACCCAGTTTGAAACTAATACTTATGCCAACATCTACAGTGACGACGGGGTTATTTCGACGGACAAAACTTGGTACGTCGTGTATGTGGTTGTGTTGATCTTATTATCTATAGCAGCCGGGATATATTGGTACAGAACACGCCATGACGCAGTTCGATCATACACGGCCCTGGAGGCAAGTCCGGCAACGGTCGAGGAAGTTCAACTCGAGGGAGTTCGGGATGAAGATCATGAAAGGGTGCCTATGGTTGGAAACATGGCATGATAGACTGCATGTAATTATTCGCGTTCAAGAACATCTTCCATCGGTATTTATTATCCCAAGCTTCAAAGAAGAGGATCCAGATAAAGACATATTTAGACATACTCAAGATATCCCAGTTAATGCTGGACTTGTGATAACAAAAGGAAGGAGATTCCGAAAAGTCCATGTTAATGATCACGCCGTCGATATGATCGAATATTCCGGTGATGTCGCGGTACACCCGGTCACAGCTGAGGGGTCCATGATTGTATTTCTGAGAAATAAGCCCTTGTAGCTCAGTGGTAGAGCGCTTCACTCGTATCGCGCGTCATGAAGAGGTCCGCGGTTCAATCCCGCGTGGGGGCACTTTCTTTTTTTTTTTTGACTGGCGTTCTGGCTTCATATTCTTGCTTCAACGGGACCACAATCCTTTCACCAACGGTCAAATACTCCGGCTTTGGACTCTTGTTTAGCTCACGACACGGTCTCTTCATTCATCTCATCACACCAAATATTTTGCAACATTTGGAGGATAACGTCAAAGAGAGAATAGATCAAACAAGGTAGGAGCCAAGATAGGAGCCAAGGTGGCCCGGGATGTGGATCTCTCCTCAATTCATGCAAACAGCCACACAAAGTAGTAGAAAAGCAATGGTGCTGAACAAAGATATTTTTCCTCGGGACATGCACTACTCCAACAAAACAAAGAAACCGTCCCATAAATGGCTACATAAAAAGAGATTACCGCGAAAGACTCTCCCCATAAATTGGATCAAAAAGCCCCTGGGAATTCCCTCGTCATTGAAGAAATCACCGAGTGTTACGCAGTCAGTCCATAAATCATGGAAACTCCAAATACATATCGCTTGGTGACTCCAGCTCCCAGTCTAGCATCGAGGGTTTACCAGTGGATACTGGCAATGCTAACTCGAGTCGGACTAAGAGAAAGAGACGTAAAACCGGGCCATCAACGCCTTTGGTGGAAGAACGTGAGTGCCGACTGTTCATCGGAATGGGACCTCTCCGCGATTAACACATTCTAGGGCCAGGGTAAATGGGTGTACGATGACTTTGTCGAGCTCGAGTCCGGTGAGCTCGACCGTTTGAAAGCGTATTTGAACGGCTCGGGATACGCAACAGACTCCGCTATACAAAATGGCTATGGCTATACTTCCCCTTCGTGATAGCTCGTCGCATAGAGCACCAGTGCAAGTTTCCGCTCCAGGAGGTCATGTCGATCAACGAGGCAGCCTCGATGATCCAGCCATCAGCAATATTCAAACTGATGTCTAGCTGGAAGAAAAAGAAGAAGAAAAAGAAGAAGTATTATAGAAATAAATAGTGGCACAGGGTAGCATGCACAAAGTACCCTGATCAACAAACCAAGGGATGAACTGCCGTGCTAAAGACTCATAAAAACGTGACAATGGTTACTAGCCATTCCGCCCATGATTTTCAAACTTCTTGTGCCTCCCCGCATTGCAACCACATATTAGACACGCGTGGATTATTATATTGCGTGCTCACTCTCCTTAACAGTGGTGGTAGTGGTGGTTGCAGTTTGTACCACCATGGAAGATAAATTGTATACTCTGTAGTATTTCCTTGAAGATATTGATAGCATGAGTAGTTCTAAGGAATAAAAGGTATCAAGACTATATATAACTAACCGTATTGGCAAGTACCACCGGGCAGTTCTCGCGAAGCCCTGAACGGACCGCACCCGCTGGAAAGCCAATGAATCACCTCGGCTTCTTGATTGACTTTTCGCTCCGCCCCACGGGGCACCTCGACCTCGCCGACTCATCATTACACAACATCAACCTTCCTTGCTGCAATGGTCCAATCCGCCGAGAGCCCGAGCAATCTGTCCACGCCGCTTCTGCGCCGGGCCCGAGTGGCTTGCAAGGCGTGCAACGCCCGCCGGGTGAAATGCGATGCGGCCGAGGGCCAGCCTTGCTGGCACTACCGCACCCGCCAGACTCCCTGTGAGCTGATCGAATCGAGGCGAGGAAAGTCCGTGGTCATCCTCTGCAATGCAGCCAACTCGGATGCATGAGCGCTAAGTCTCCTCCAGGTACACTCGGAAGAAGCGCGCGCTACCTCGCGACCGACGGGTCTCTCAACGCCTACGAGGGGCATCCACCGAGGGGGCACCAGATGCCACTGCCACCAGCACCCAGTCGCCCCAGAAAGGAGACCCGAGTTGTCTGTCTTACATCGTCGAGGTGGGATACCGTCCCAGCGGGGGTTCAACCGAGCCCTTGCAAGTCCACTACCCCATCCCAGCCTCCATTGCAGATCGACCACCCCCGGACAATCGATCTCGGGTCGAAGAACCCGTCTCCTTGCAGGATGCATTCGTCATGCCGGCCCCAGAGATAGCAGACCAGCTCATCCGTACTTTTTTCGATGTGGTTCATCCTGCATACCCCGTATTGGACCGAAAGAACTTTACGCGCCTGTACCACCAGGGTCAAGCATCCCCACTTGTCCTACACTCCATCTTTCTCCTGGGTTTCACGATTGGCACCGAATCTCTGGTCCAGGCAGCAGGATACAGTGACCGCGCTGTCGCGAGGAAGACTCATTACCTGCGCGCAAAAGCATTGTACGATGCCGATTACGACACGGATCCCATGAACCTGACGGCAGCCCTGCTCCTTCTAGGGTTTTGGTGGGCTGGTCCCGAGGATCAGAAAGACTCATGCTACTGGGTGGGATGCGCAGCGATGCTGGCCCAGTCGATGGGGATGCATCTATCGTGCGTCATCAATCTAGCGCTTTGTGGCTATGCTGACTGTTCTAGCACATCGCCCTGTTCAATAAGCCAGCCATTAAGGTCTATGCGGAAGCGAATCTGGTGGTCCATCTATGTATTCCCGCCACCTTGCCATCCTCGACCCCTGCTAATAGAGCCAGATCCGTGACCGACATACATCGGCGGCCTTTGGTCAGCCGTGCCGCATCCGGGATGAGGACTGTGATGTTGATCTCCCGACTGAGGAGGACTTGAATTTTGACGTTGACTATGACGAGGCACTCATCCCGGGCCAGAAGGACTTTCATACGTTCTACTTTCTTGAGATGACCAAGCTGGCCACAATCCGTGAGTTTTTCACGAGTGGCTTGTGCTCATAACTAACACGCTACCAGTGGGAGATATACTTATCAGCGAATTCAGCCCCCGTCGCCCGGCGCTCTCAAAGTTCGATACAGAAGTATTGACAGAAAGGCTCATCCATTGGGAATCCCAGTTGCCAAACCAGCTGCAGAAATTACCGCCTGATGGGTCATTGAATGCGCCCTTCTGGGCCAGCATGCTGCATATCGCCTACCAGTGAGTCGCGCGGTCGCTTTGATGCACCTGCATTAACCCCTGATAGAAACTACCATATCCTACTATTCCGACCCAAGGCCATTGAAAACCTGGCGTCCGCCGAGGCGGAGCGGGATATCCGAGCCCGCATGGCTGCGGACTCCGTCACTCGCATCGCGGAGGACCTGTTGGCCGCGGATACCATCAAGTTTGGACAAATCCATCTGTATGGCCCCATACTGCAATTGAGGCATCGAGATCCTAACGTTGCTTAGTGTCCCGGCGTTGTTCGGTGCCCTCTCGATCCACACCCTAGTCATCTGCCGTCAAGATCCTGTGCGTCGACAACTGGCCGAGAACAAGTCGCGACAATGCGTGCTGGCACTCAGTGAGGTGGCGAAACATTGGCCTGTCAAAGTTTGGATTGCAAAAGCGTTCGTCAATCTCTTGCGGCGACTGACTGGGCAAGGCTCTGCCTCGGGCGGGTCGATTGTCAATGTGTCATCCAGCATTGCGAGTACTCGCGGGAATGTCGCTCCGTCGGGGCACTGGGGGCTGTTGGGGCTTCAGCCGACAATTAGCCCGAGAAGCCTTCCTTCACACTTTCTGGACGGCGAGCAGAGTTTGGGTAGTGTCGACAGGGCTGAGCCGAGCACGCCGCAGCGAGAACTTGCCCCCGACTACATCCTCCAAACCGCCGACCAGCTCATTTGTGATTCTTTCTGGGCCGGTTGTCTTGATAACACGTATGATGTCGACCTGCTTCTTCCTCATGCCCTAGGAACGCATCCGGTGCAACTCGAGGGGTCGAGTGGGGAGCCCGGTTTGGAAACCTAGGGGGCGGCCTTTCCTGAGAGACATGACCAAGAAGGATGAAACGCATTTCTCACCAAATTTAAGAGGACTGGCAACATGGAATTGCCGGCGTGGTTGACCCTCGGTGTTCTCGACAGGGAAGAACCCGAGGTTTCTTCGGGGCCGAGTGAAGTGCGAACATCTGGGAATATCTCCATTGTAGCGTCGCCTGTGAAAACAATACTATATTGATGATACTTGCCAAGTTCATTCAATACTGACAGGCAGATATTCTCTTCGGAATATCATAATGGTGGCGACCAGAGTGTGTGGACCATCGGTGATTTGCCCACGCGAGCCGATTGCGGAGACTACCCGGAGGCCAACCTTATAAAAGCCCCGATCCACGGGTTCCCACAAGGCTCCATCCGTCATTGAGTGACCGTTAGTGCTTTCCAGATGAACCCGGCTAGTCAAGACGAGGCTGCTCAGACGGCCATCACAAGGCATCGCCTGTCCACGAGAGGCGCCCATAATTTCGCCCACCGCGATGTTTGGGGCCCGCGGGAAAAGACCATGGCAAATCCATGGTCCCCAGGGAATCCAGATGGGACGTGAGTCCACCCACCTGACGAGATTCGATAAAACATCAATGCTAATGACAAACAGCGTTATTCTTCGTTTAGCAGAAAACAGTCTGCTCCACGAGGAGGTAGCAGAGTTTATCAAGGCTCAGGTCTGCATCCCAGCTCTGCTACTGTTCTCCACTCATCCATTGGCATAGATGACGGTCCTGCCCATCGAACACCTTACCTACAGCACTGGTCCAAGGGGATCTCGTCGTCTTCGACGTGCAGCAGCGTCGTTTTTGACCGAGGAGTTTCAGGCCCGTGAGCCCGTCACGGCCGACAATCTTTTCATCACACCAGGCTTAGCCAGTGCCATCGACGCAGTGGCCTGGTCGATTTGCGACGAGGGGGATGGCATATTGATTCCTCAACCACTGTACAACGGGTTCAATTTTGACACGCTGAATCGGAGCAATGCGCGCGTGGTTGGGGTGCCGTACGAGGGGATAGAAGGATTCTCGGAGCTGGAGGATTTGTTTGATCCCGACGTGAACCAGAGAGCCCTTGAGGGTGCGCTTCGCAAGGCGCAAAATGATGGCATCACTGTTCGCGCTCTTTTGATTTCCAAGTCAGACTTCCCTAGCTCAGATTGCCTGCCATCTACTTACCAATGCTAGCCCGCA